TGTTTGTGCTGATCTTCTGGGGGAGGGGCCTGTTGCTGTGGTTTCCAAATGTCTTTGCCGGAGGCGGAATTGCCCCGCCCTTGTCGGTCCGGGCTAAGGAAGCTGCTCCGGTTTGTTCTCAGGAGCTTTTGTTCCCTGCAAGCTCTCGGTACAGCTTTGGAGGACCAGGGCAGAAATGGTGGCCTCCCAATCTCCACCCGGAGGAGCCGAGAACTCGTGGCCCCGCTCCCCAGTGTGTCCCCAGAGAAAAGCAGTCACTCCCGTGTCCCCGGTCTCCGGCCGCACTCCGTGCTCACCCGGCCTGTGATCGAGCGTTGCTATCTCTGGCACCCGACCCCGCACGTTGTCTCCAAACCCAGCAGATCCCTGCGGTGTGCTCCCGCACCGCTCCTCCCCGGGAAGGAAGGGGAGTCTCCCCGGATCTGCTGCTTGTTGTGTCCCTGCTGGGGGAGCCGTGCCCCGACTGGGCCGCAGATCACAGTTTATGGCCACCCCGAGCTGAGAGCCCGCGACTCTGTTCCGTCTCTGCAGCCGGCTTCCCCGCTCTGATACCTGGGAGCTCTGGCGCACTCAGGCACCCCCGGTCTCTCCGTGACCCCGAGGGTCCTGAGACCACACTGTCCCGGGAGGATTCCACCCCCCGCTTAGCCACTGCAGCGACGTCCCTCAGCGGAGCCGACTTCTAAAAGTTCCGATTTTGTGCTCCGCGGCTCTATCACTTGCCAGAAGCGGCCGACGGAGGCCCCTCCCCCGCCGTCTATCCTCCCGAATATCGCCTCAGATTCACTTCTCCGCACGCCCTACCTTCCAGTAAGTGGTCGCTTCTCTGTTCAGAGAGTTGTTGCTACTCTCCTGTTCAATCTCCTATTGAGTTCGTAGGTGTTCAGAATGGTTTGATCCCTATTCAGCTGAATTCCTGAGACCAGACGAAATCTACGTCTCCTACTCCTCCGCCATCTTGCTCCGCCTCCTCATCCTCTTGGCTTTTGTTGAAAACATTGAACATGCATTTCTCTGGGTTGGCTCCAACATCGTGTTTCTGCATTTGCATCATCTGTTTCTTCTTCGGTGCCATCATTTACTACTTCTCTGTGCTCCTCCCCTTCCCGTGGCCGTTCTGTGTCCTTCTTGCCAAATGCTTCTCATTTTACCACTCGATCCCAGGTCGTATGCTGCTTTGGAGCAGACTTCTCATGCTACAGTTTGGAGGCAAGGTATTAAAGGTTAGCGTCGGGTGAACTCTGATTTATGTCTGTGCAGGTAGCAAGTTTTCTGTGTTAGAAGAAGAGCAGCTTGAGAGCAGAGCTAGAACCACCAAAATGGGCGGGACTAGATTCCTATGCTGAGAAATTGGTGGCTCAGTGTTCATTCAAACCCCTTTAAATAGGTTGAATGTATTTATACCTTGGTGCATGTGCAAACTAGAAGACTTTTATTTATTTACTTGAATTATCATTTAGAGAATAATATTTGACATAGCACGTTGCTTTAATTATAAAAGATATTTGGTGGTAGGTTTAGCACAGGAGAATTTTCTTTGAACTAAGGTGATTGACTTTGGGACATGGACTTTGAAGAACCACGAGAGATGATGGAGAAACAAACCGAGGGTTCTAGAGGGGAGGGGGTGGGGGGATGGGTTAGCCTGGTGATGGGTATTAAAGAGGGCACGTTCTGCGTGGAGCACTGGGTGTTATGCACAAACAATGAATCATGGAACACTACATCAAAAACTAATGATGTGATGTATGGTGATTAACATAACAATAAATTTAAAGAAAAAAAATAAAATTTCATACACTCTTGTTTGGAGTATGTGAAAACCTATCACAACTTCTTCCTCTGCAGGTTTTTAACTGGGCACGAGAATCTCCTCCAGACCCTCACAAACCAATGGATACTTACTACGACCCGAGTAGAGGACGATTAGCATCTTACGTGCTGAAGAAGCCAGAAAGCTTGACGGCCGATGATTTCAGGAATGGCCAGACTCTCCCCGTCGTTCAGACTCCTGACATGCAGCGACAGCTGGATTATTTCAAACCGTGGTTAAGTTCTGATACTAAACAGCCATTTATTCTTGTAGGACCAGAAGGTTGTGGCAAAGGGTAAGAGCAGAAGATTGTTGATTGAGGTACATAGTGTGGATTTGTATTCCTTTCTTCTTTTAAAGTAATTTAACAGCTCTCTTACCTTTCTTTTGCTTAAAGTAGCACTTACATTTTCATGAAGGACTCTTCCCATTGTCACTACTTGTAAAAATGATATGACTGTAGAGAATTATAGAGAAGAATATGTCCTTTTTTCCTGCCAGCTTATGTGTTTTTTGATGGAAAGAGAACAGTCTGAGAAAATACATGCATACAATCCCAACAAAAACTGAATACCTTAGATACGCTCACAAATGATTACCTGCTTTAGTTATAAAAAATGCATCTTGAAGTTAGCTCTCTATTTAAAAATAGCTTTTATTTCAGTGTCATTCAGCCTACTCTTAGTGCCTACTGAATGTAGGATCTGGAAATAAAGGAGACATGATTATTAGTTTCACATTTGTAGTAATAATTTAAAAATTCTGTAAAATCATAGTAAATATTTGTTTAACTTGGAGTACTTAATATCTTAAAATCTTTCCTTCAACTGTGAGGAAACAGTTGGTATCTTTTATATGTACTTTATCAGGTTAAATTATTTCTGTAAACTTTGATTTTTTTTTGTTCAGTGAGTCCCAAGAATGCCTTCAAATATGAATTTATTTTTTTATATTGTAAATATTAGAAAGCTACTTGTTAAGCCATATCCATGTTTACCATTTTCCCCTTAAACATTATATTACATAATTTAGAAACTAAAATATTTATAAAATAGAAATTTTATATTGACTATACACAGTGTTTAATTGGTTGTATTTTCGAAGTCCAATGTCCTCCATCTCTTGTAGGCTGCTGCTAAGGTATGCCTTTTCCCAGCTCCGGTCCACTCAGATTGCTGTAGTTCACTGTAGTGCCCAGACAACGTCCCGGCATCTCCTGCAGAAGCTGAGCCAGACCTGCATGGTGATCAGTACTAACACAGGTCGCGTGTACAGACCGAAGGACTGCGAGAGACTTGTTCTGTACTTGAAAGATATCAACCTGCCCAAGCTTGACAAATGGGGCACTAGCACTTTGGTTGCTTTCCTGCAACAGGTGAGTCTTACTCCTTGAAGTGTTAGGATGTAATGGGAAAGGGTTAGAAAATCTGCTTTCCTTCTCAGGGTCAGTTTTATCCAGCATGTGTTGTGGACATTAAACTCCCAAAGCTTGTAGTAATCTGGTTCCAGGGCTACTTTCTTCCTGCCTTTTCTTTTTTTTTTTTTTTTTAAGAGATTTTATTTTTAAGTAATCTCTACACCTAGCATGGGGCTCAAACTCACGACCCCGAGATCCAGAGTCGCACGCTTTACTGACTGAGCCAGCCAGGTGCCCCCACAAGGCACCCTTCTTTGACGTTCTTCCCTATAGAAGTTAGCATTACAGCAGGATGATGTATGACAGGAAGAGTAAGAACAACCTTCACCTATACTTACTTCCTGTCCTTTATTTCTAAAACAGAGGGAAAGCAGGAGCTGGGGATGATGTGGGATTTGGGGAGATTTCTGTTTCATTTTTCTAGGGATGCATTCTTCAGAGAGCAGGTACATGTCCTTGGTCCTGGCCCTTTATGGGCTTCCTTAGCTCAGTGTTCTCCCTCTTAGCCCAAGTAAAGGCGAAGGTCAGAGACCATACGTTCTGTCAGTGTGGAAGGCGTTATATATGTGGTTTGCTTCACATTAGAAACCCTGCATTCTAAATTAGAGTTTATTATGTTTATATGGGTTCAAACTTAGCTTTACTATGGAACTGTAGAATATGATAAAATATTTATAAAGAAAACCAAAATAGTTTCCTTATATTTTTCCTGGTTCTTCCACTTTGTTTTCCCTAATTGCTGGTAGATTTATTTGTCATCTGGATTTTAATGTTTATTGGAGAGAAAAGCACTTTAAAAATGAGCATAATTCAGCTAACATTAATTGAACGTAGAGTCTTGAAGAGTATTATTTTTCAGTGTTATAAGAATTTAAAGTATATTTCAATCTTAAATTTTTGAGTTAGGTAGAGGAGGATGATTGCATTTGGAAAAAATTGAATTTTATGCAAAAATATTAGAAAATCCTAAGCCTAAAACATTTAAAATACATTTATTTTCAAAAAGGTACTGACATATCAAGGATTTTATGATGAAAATTTGGAATGGGTTGGTTTAGAAAATATTCAGATTGTGGCTTCTATGTCAGCTGGAGGAAGACTGGGAAGACATGAGCTGACCACCAGGTTTACCTCCATTGTTCGTCTTTGTGCTGTGGAGTATGTATCATGGTGTTCGTAAATTTTTTTTTTTTTTAAATTTGGGGAGACGTCTTCTGTATTTGAATTTTATTAAAGGCATCCATTAATGATAATTTTTTAAAATGAAGAATATAAAAATAGTTAAACTTGAGTTCTGTTATTTTTTTCCCTGTCTTTTCTAAACTTTAGGCAGTAATTTAGGGTGATAAAGGCGTTAATCAGTGCTTCTTAAATATTAGAAATAAAACCCAAAATGTTTTGTATCATCTCTGTTCTAAAATGTCAGTATCAGGAATCTGAATGATGGATTTTAAATCTTAATATGGGTTTCATAAAACAAAAATACTATCAAATTTTATGAAGATAAATAAACATAATGTAAACAGGCACAAGGTGGAGTCAGGTCAGGTGTGTGGGTGACAGCATTAATCCTGATGCATGCATCCATCTCCACGGTCCATAATTGTTGCAAGAACTTGTAAATTTTATGGATATGGAGCTTGTCCTCTGTTCCGTTTTGCCTTAAACAATCTTGTTTTGATGCTTTCATGCTCATTGCACCCATCTATTAAATTGTACTTTCAGAAATGTTATAGCTACCAATTAAGCTGTATTGAAATAGATTTAGCTTTGAGAGAAACAGGTTGATTTCATCTGTTGTATTCTACTTTTACAGTTCTGAGATGATTACTGCTTTATGGGTCGGCTATACTGAAAATAATTTTTCTGAAGCAAAATTTACCTTTTGGTCCTTTCTAAAAATCAGTGATTTCCAAACAGTTATGTTTTTAAGTAATTTCACTGGAAACTTCTATTAGGGCCCTCAGTATTTGAGAGCAGATAAGTAGGGGTCAGAATAGGGACCTAGAGCCTGGCTTTAGTCCCTGGGTAAAGTGGGGGGGTATCTGAACCTCAGGGCAGCGCAGCTGGAAAACTGCTACAAATGAACATTAATGTAATAATCTAGAACATTGTATTTTCAGCTATTTTCTTATGTGCCTTCTTTCAGTTACCCAGAAAGAGAGCAATTACAGACAATTTGTGGAGCATATTTGGAACCGGTTCTCCATAAAAATCTGAAGAATCACTCTGTTTGGGGCTCTTCATCAAAAATCTACCTCTTAGCGGGATCTATGGTCCAAGTGTATGAACAGGTGTGTACTTACTCATTTATACTGTAATTGTCGTGTTTCTTGGTTTCACTCCCAGAGGGACTACCTTTAACGCTGACCTGTGTTGACACTGTGGCTTTCTTTTCGTCTTGTTGATTAGGCTTTTCTACCAGAGAGTGAACTCTCTGAGTGCAGATGCTCTAATAGACACGCAGTGAATATGGAATGAATGAATTAATGCTGGATGGTTTTTCCGTTTTCAGCTAAAATTTAGTGTATTCAGAATGTTCCTCTTCTTTCCAAAACTGGATCTTTCTCCTGACTTCGATCAGCTTTTGTCTTGGAGACTTCAAACCAGGGAGTGGTCTTTGAGGTTTCTTCTTTCTTGTTGCCTGGGAGGAAATGCTTCCAGTTCCTTCCTTGGTGAAGCGGGATGGTGCTTGAAAACAGGCAGTAAAGGGCACAGAAGACATTCATTCAATACCTTCTTTTCTAGTGCTGGTCCTAGGGATGCAGAGAGGCCTGAGTCTGTTTTCTGGAAGCTTACAGACCAGTCAGGAACTTGGTCCCGTAAATACATTATTACCACAGCCTGATGAGTAGTGGAACTGTGACAGTAGGCACAAGTTACAAATACTGTGGAAGAGGAAGGAAGTGACTCTGCTGTGGTAGTTGTTAAGAGGAGGTGAAATGTGACCTGACTTTGTTTGAAAGATGTATTTATTTATTAGAGTGTGCACCGTGGTGGGGGGAGGGGTGGAGGGAGAGAGGATCTGAAGCCGACTCCACGCTCAGCACAGAGCCCGACTCGGGCCTCGGTCTCACAACCCTGAGATCACGACCTGAGCCAAAATCAAGAAATCAACTGACTGAGCCCCCTAGGCGCCCCGAAATGTGATGTGAGTTTTGAACAATTAATAGAAATTCCCAAAGTGGCTGGAGATGAAAGAAGATCTTCCGAGGTAAAGGGGACAGCATGCGAAAGTTGGGGAAGTGTTTGTGGAAGATGCTTTTGGCAGTGTTGGAGTAGACGTGGGGCAAGAGAAGTTAGAAAGCATTGATGACTTTCTGAATGAATTCGGAAGCTCAGTGATCAAGGCCGGAACGAGAGCAGTGGTTCCTGTCCATGAGGAGGAAGGCACAGGCTCTCACGGGTCATGTATCAGGAGTCACACTTTGATCCTTCCTGGATCGGTGACTGTTTGAACAGAGACAGCTCTCTGGCTCCTGCCATTAGCAAACATGTCTGTCCCGGACCCGGGAGCGCCTTGGAATTGCAACCACTGTGTGGAGAGCTTAGCTTCACCTTCCTTGAGCTCCTTTGCTCAGCAGGACTTTTTAACCTTTTATTTTTTCTTGGACAACGTTTGGCAGTTTGTTGAAGCCTATGAATAACCCCTCTTAGAGAATGTTTTTAAATGGGTAAAATATAATGTATGAGGTAACTAAGGAAATCAGTTCTAATAAAATACAGTTTCTACTCACTAGTAGAAATTGGGCATTCCTGTGAGTGTGGTGACTGAAAAATTTATAGCATTATATATTTGGAAATACATTGTAAATAAAATATATATTATGTATTGAGAAAACAGTTGACTTTATTTTCTTTTCCAGGTGCGGGCCAAATTTACAGTTGATGATCATAGTCACTATTTCTTTACTCCTTGCATCCTTACCCAGTGGGTTCTTGGCTTATTAAGATACGATTTAGAAGGAGGTAAGTTTTACTTTTATGATTTCAAATTGCTTTTCTTTCTTTGGAATGCCACAGTGTATCTGTGTGTGTACGCATGAGCGTGCGTGCGTGCGTGTGTGTGTGTGTGTGTGCTAAACTGTTTATGATTGTTGCTGGTAAAATTTGATTTGGGGAAAAATAAAATTGTTAGTGATGTTTAATATGCATTTTGGAATTAGTATTTTTATTGAACAACTAGAGATAATGATGCTTAATATATTCTTTAAATAATCAAAACTTATCAATAACACATTGAATTTTACCTTTTTTCCCATTCCTTATATTTATCTGACGCCAACCTGACGGTATGCAGATTTTTATTCTCTATTTCTTTCTAGTATTATGTTGAGATAGACCACCTGCAAGTCATTTGAATTTTATTACAACTAAAGAAAATGTTGTCTTTTTTAGGATCCTCAAATCACCCACTAGATTATGTATTAGAAATCGTAGCTTATGAAGCACGGCGCTTATTTCGTGACAAAATTGTTGGTGCCAAGGAACTTCATTTATTTGACAGCATTTTAATGTCTGTGTTTCAAGGAGATTGGGGCTCGGATATATTAGACAATATGGCAGGTAATATAGTTATGGAGTTTATGTAATATATAAATGTTATAAGAATTGTAAACTTACTTTTCTTGCTAATAGCATGATTTCGTATTTCTGTGTAAATAAAACGTTTGGGTAGTCTTAATGTAAGGGGCCGTTTTTTCCTTTTGCTAGATTTCCAAATATAAATAAAATATAGTGACAATAATTGTTTTCTTGGATTCAGGCCATAGTGTTTTATATCTGCAATTCAAAATTAGGTTTCCTGAGGGATTTTTATTAATAAAGGTTTTATTTAAAGCCGTATGTGTATGAGACTTAAAGATCATTGGGAAAATCCATATTTGATTATAATTAACTTTTGCTTAAAAGTAAATCATGTCATCAGCACAGAACTTCTTATGTACTCTTGTCTACAGCTTCACCCACAGTTAGGATAAATAAAGCGTAGCTCCACTCACTCAAAGCAGCTCAGTTGCATTTGCAACTGTTATCACTTAACAGCCAGCTTGCGTTTTGCAAACTGCTGTGGGAGTAGTGCGTGTGATCTGAAAACCGTCATGGCGAAAGGACCTTTGATACAAGACCATATCATGGAAGTATTTCTTAACCGCTTTCAAGCTACACAATGAGTTTCTGTTCGGTTAGACTGTAAAGCTAGGCTTCACAAATAACGTCATGTAGCATATTCTGTGTACTGCCAGATTCGATATTGCCCCACGGCCATAATTGCATAGGCCGAAGGGGATTTTGAAGATGAGGAAGATGTGGAGATTGGCAGAGAGATTTTCGAGGTGCGACTTGAGTTTCAGAATCAGGAGATGAGTTGGAGAAGCCGGGGCAGGATGAAATGCTGAGAGAGAGCCCTGGTCGCAGCTCAAGAGTTGGCTCATTCTCAGTGAGGCTTTGTTAGTGTGACCTGTAGCTCTCCTTGCTTAGTGTGGGCACGTTTCGTTTCTTAAATGGCACCATCTTTCTCAGACTGCGAGTTGCCTGAATGGTATCTCTTCTTGCAAAGAAAGTAGCATGTTCTTTGGGCATTAGACAGTAGCAGTGTCTCCTTGGGTATCTGAATTCTCTAGAATTTGTTATCTTTCAGGGTCTCCTTTGTAGGACTCAATAAATAATAAATGCTTTTTTCCCCCTCACCGTTTTACTTTTCAAGGAAAGGTTGCATTTTTTAAAAATACAGGCTTGATAAATGTCGTATCTGGGCAAACAGTGTTTTCACATAGTGGAATAATATTAATTTGTTAAGAAAAATGTAATCTTGGAAGACTTGGAAATAAGCTAGATAACATTCTTGTGCTCAAGAAACGTGTAATCCAGGGGCAGATACAGATATGAAAGCCCTCACTTACAGTGATAACTATTGTTAGTGTGTTTAGATGCCACAAAATTTGTGCAAGTAGATGGTTAAACTGATAATTATAATAGAACATGAAGTGTTTTACAATTAATACAACTTTTCTGAATATATTCAGGATAAATGCTAGATAGTAGTGTGTAGAAGGGTTAATTTTTTTTGAGGGAGTTACTTTGAAACCTTGAAATAAAAAAATGAATTTTTTATTTTGTGATAATTGCACATTAACATACAATTGTAAGAATTCATACAGAGTATGTGTAGCTTTTACTTGGTTTCTCTTGATGGTAACATATGGCAAAATTATGGTAGAGCATCACAACCAGGGTATTGACATTGATACAGTTAATACTCAGAATATCTATCCTGCTGCCCTGCTGTAGCCATGTCCACGCCTCTGGAAACCGCCAGGCTGTTCTGTATTTAATTTGCCATTTCAAGAATCTTATTTTCACTCAGTAATTCTCTGGAGACACACAGGTTGCTGTGAGTCTCAGTACTTTGTTCCTTTCTATTGACGAGTGGGTATTCAGATGTACTACCATTTCTTGAACCATTTACCTGTTGAAGGGCATCTGGGTTATTTTCTGGTTTTGACTATTAGGAGGAAAGCTGCTATAAGCATTTCCTGTAGAGATGTTTGTGTGAACATGCACTTTTGTTTTTCTGGGATAAATGCTCAGGAGTGCAGTTGCAGGGATGTATGGTGCTCTTGTGCTTGGTTTGTAAAACACACCGCCCTGCTCTTTTCCAGAATGACTGTATCATTTTACACTCCTGTCAGCAATATGTGAGTAATCTAGTTGCTCCGCACACTTGCCTTTGCTTTTGTCACGCTGTTGTATTTTAGCCCCTCAGTAAGTGCGTGTGGGTATATCACTGTGGCTTTAATTTGCATTCTGCCAACAGCAAATGCGCTTGAGCATCTTTCATGTGCTCAGTGCTGTCTGTGAATCCTTTGAAGTGAGGTATCTCTTTCTGTGACTTGCTCATTTTCTAATTGGATGCTTTATCTTTTTTTATTAATGAGTTTTGAGAGTTCTTTATGTATTATGGATATTAGGGTTTTTTTTTTGTTAAATATGAGGCTTGCAAACGTACTCTCCCGCTCTTTTGCTTGTCTTTCCATCCTTTTCTCTCCCACAGCTAAATATTTTAATTTTATCAAGTACAACTTAGTAATTTTTTTTTTCAGGATCTTTTGGTGTCAAGTTTAAGAACTCTGTTTGGTCCTAGTTCTTGGGGATTTTCTCCTGTGTTTTTTTCTGAAAAGTTTTATGGTTTTATGTTTTAAGTCAGTGGTCCACTGTGAGTTAATGTCTGAATGGAGTGAGGCCTCGGGTCACCTTCTTTGCCGACGGATGACCACTTGCTCCAGCACTGTTTTTTGAAAAGGGAACTTTTCTTCCTCGAGCTGCTTTGCACTTTGTCAGAATAGTTGTGTGAACATATCTCTTGGTTCTCCATCAATCACATGTCTGTCCTGCCACCAGCACCACCTGTTTTCATTACTTTAGAAATCTTGAAATTGGGTAGACTGCCTTCTCCTGCTGTCCTCTTTTTTACAGTTGTTTTCACTGTTTAAGTTCCTTTACCTTTCTCTATATATTTTAGAATAATCTTATCTATAAGTAATGTTGCTAAGCTTTGGATGGAAATTGCATTAACTCTGTATATTGGTTTTGGGGAGAATTGACATCTTCATTATGTTGAGTCCTCCAGTCTGTGAACAGATATGTCTGTCCATTTATTTAGATATTCTTTGCTTTCTTTCATCAGTGTTGTGTAGTTTTCAGCACATAAGTTTTGTACATATTTTGTTAGATGAACAACTAAGATTTAAAATTTTTTGAGCGACACAGAGAGTCAGATCATGTTAAAGAATGACTGTACTGTGTGGCGAGGGGGAAGACTCTGCATAGGTTCAGAGGCGT